TGTGTGTGTCTGACTGTGTGTTTGTGTCTGATTGTGTGTTTGTGTCTGACTGTGTGCATGTGTGTGTGTGACTGTGTGTGTGTGTGTTTGTGTGTGACTGTGTGTGTGTGTGTGTGTGTGTCTGACTGTGTGTGTGTGTTTGTGTCTGACTGTGTGTGTGTGTAGCGGAGAGCTAGTATTTCATAGCCTATCTCCACTTGTAGATCCCAATGAGGATCAGGAACAAGTAATTATAAATCTATAGGCAAAGTATCCAGCAGGCAAAACAATTCAGCAGTATCCCAACAGCACTCCCAATAAATGGACTTCACACAGTATCAGGAGCAGAACTAAACCTTTATTCTTACAGTGGCCTTATAAAGCATGCTCCCATGCAAGCCAATCCTGTTCTGGTAACCTCCCACACATCTCCTCCCCTCGGCCTGACTCATAATCCCCTTATCCAAGACACCAATTCCCCCCGTTTATGGATGTACCCCTAAACCTAGGGGTACCTCTTTAAATGATACATCCCCTGGTAGCCCTGATCTTGGTGAACAACATATCCAGAAATCACCCAGATTAGACCAGGGGTTCGGGAAATTTATGGAGGGAATAAAAAGACAGACCGCGCTGGAGGGAACAGCCGAATTGGGTTCCATGTGATGGGGCCCTGCGGTCGGTCCTGCCATAAGGGAACAAATTGCACGAAAGCCTCCAGTTACAGAGACCAGGGAGGGTTCGCCTGAATCCCCTCGTTCGGTTGTTTCTGTCTACCGAACGAGGGGCCGTTCGGTAGTTTGTAAGCGAACGGACCAGGCTTGTGGAGGTCTCAGCATTGTTCGCCTAGTCGAGTGTCCGATTTGGGTTCCAGACACTCGACGGCAAAACACCGCTGTTCGGGAGTTTTAAAATGGCCGCCGCCACGTGTTCGTTTCCCGAATGGAAGCCACCCCCGAGAACAAAGAACTTACTGCCCAGCTTGTCAATTACCCGTTCGCAACAATGTTGCAACAGGTAATTGAAGGCACACTTCACACCGGGGAGGTCTGACTGTTCGGTAGTTTAATTCCCTTAGTTGTTAGAATGATTCTACCAAACAATCAGA